CTGACGGTCATGCGACGCAATAGGCCGTGCGCTGCTGGAGCTGGGCGGGCAATCGGAAGTCACGCGAGAAGACCGGAGGCCCAATGAAGCGTGAGTCCCAGGTTCGCGGGGCGGCTCCAGAATGAGAGCGACGGCTCTGGCCAGTCACGTGGATCTGGGGGCGGGGCTTAGCCAAAGAGGCCCCCCTCCCATGAGCGGCGGGCGCTCGGCGAGATAGTCGTGAATGTCAGCCAATGGATACGCGCGGGAGGCGGTGTTTGTTAAGATTGGCAGTCACTTAACCCAGTCCCTGAAGCGTTTTGGGGTGATGTGCTTGGATTTGGACTTGACTTTTCTCAGAATCCATGTCCCTTGACTTCTGGGCCAATGGCTGAGCGACAGGGGCAAGCGTTGGATGATTGACGCCTCCCTGGGCGAATAGCAGCAACGGAAGTAATAGTGCTCTGTTTTGATGGGCGCGCACCTGCGTTTGGGTGGAACCCGCTACCAGACGGCGAGAGCGGATTAGCGGGACACTGAGTGAATGGCAGGGGACGTGGGTGGTTGTGCCCAGCTGCCGGAACTTACGGCCTGACCTCTAGGTCAGCACGCAAGCGGCCTGGCCCTGGGAGCCCATGCACGTGGCCTGCTCGAAGCCTTGGGTACCTGAGTTTGTGGGGGATGTGGGTGGCCCGAGATTAGGTGAACTACCCAGGGGTATCCGGAATCTTCCCTAGGACCTAGAGCCTGTATTTCTTCCAGTACTCATGGCACCAACTCCTCCAACTTACTGCAAGCCTATTTCCAACCTGGACCCAGGTTCCCACAGAGGTCCAAGCTCCCAGTTCCCAACCCAGGACCCAGAAGGGATCCCAGTTACCACCCTGGACCTAGGAGTCCCAGGTCTCCTTACAGGGGTCTAAAACCAGCTCCCACCCTGGATCCAAAAATCTCAGGTCCCTACAGGAACTTAAGCCCCTTGCTCCCCAGGTCCTCAGGATGGGGATTGAATTTAGAACCCTGATGGGAATGTTCTGTACCACTGAGATACGCCCCCGTACTCAGATTACCCACCCTGAACCAGCTAATCCCAGGCAGACACAGCCAAAACTATCTTTATTCTCTGTCCACACCTGTTGGACGAGCCTGCAAAAACCAAGCTGGAATCTCAACTCAGACTGTATCCTGCAGGAGGGAATCCCAGCACTTCTAACCCTAGTCCTGGATGGTTTTTGCAAACCAAAATGGCTCTAAAGCCTGAGCCTTGGCGGGCTTTCTGAGACCCAAGGACACTGGGTCTTCCATTCTCTTCCTGTTCGGGGCATGTCATCTGCTCAGGACTTGTACACCCAGGGTTTTCTTCATGGCTTCGTACACCAGATAGCTGATACTGCCTGCTGGCACCACCTTCAGTAACGTGGGCGTCATGCCTCTGTATAGTCCAGGCCAGCCCTGTTGGCTCAGTATCTGCCTGAACACTCCCAGCATAGTGGGGTTAGAGCCCTCCACAGTGTCTGGGAATAGACAAAGACAAATTCAGCACTGGGTCTGATGTAAGATGCCACTGTGGTCACATTTTGGGGGATTTTGTATTGATCATTCAGTTGTTGCCATATGTGTATTTTGAGATGGTCTTATGCAGTGCAGGCTGACATAGAATTCCATATGTAGCTGAGGCTAGCTTTGAATTCCTGATCCTCTTGATTCTACCTCTTGCTGGAATTACAGCATTACCACACCCATTTTATGTGTTGCTGGGGACTGAGCCCTGGCTTCATGCATAGGCACACTATACACTGTACCAGGTTGAGCTATAGCCCCACCCTCAAGGTAGCTGTGGCTAGCCTCAAACTCAATATGTCACCAAAGATGACGATTTTTTTTTTTTTTTCCGAGACAGGGTTTCTCTGTGGCTTTGGAGCCTGTCCTGGAACTTGCTCTGTAGACCAGGCTGGCCTCGAACTCACAGACATCTGCCTGCCTCTGCCTCCTGAGTGGTGGGAATAAAGGCTTGCGCCACCAACGCCCAGGCCCAAAGATGATCTTGAATTCCTGTTTTTCCTGCCTCCACCTCCCAAGTGATGGGGCGACAGTTAATTTGAAGGCCGGAATTAGATTCGGGAGTGAGCATAAGTTTTGATGGTTTCAGTACTCAGCAAAGGTGTTGCAGATGGGTTTATGGAGGGGCTGGAAGTTAGAGGGGAAGGATAAGAAAATTCAGAAAACCAGGATGAGGTAGGGAAGGGGCCAGACTGACCTTGTGCCTGCATCCGTGTGCGCACCAAAGTCAGCGGGTAACTGGCCATCTGGCCACAGGTCGAGGACAGTGTTACAGACGACAAGCTGACCAGGCCACTGGGGTCTGTCATGTCCCAGCCTGACTTCTGCCACAAACACCGGAGAAGCTGCAAAAGGAGGTAATAGTGCTATTAATAACAACTCAAGAGTCAAGATGGGCACTGGGAGGCAGAGGCAGGAGAACCTCTGTAAATTCAGGGAGAGCCAAGGCTCTCAGAGATACTAAAAGTATTTCTGAATCAAAACCAGCTGGGCGTGGTGGTGCACACCCTTAATCCCAGAACTGGGAGGCAGAGGCTGGAGAATTTCTTTAAATTGAGGCTAGCCTCATCTACATATTGAGTTCCAGGTTAGCTGAGGCTACATTGTGAGACCCTATCTTAAAAAAATCAACAGTCTTTGGGTTTCTGAGTTCAAAGCCAGCCTGGTCTACAGAGTTCCAGGGCTGCCAGGGCTACACAGAGAAACCCTGTCTCAAAACACAAAAACAATCTGGGCGTTGGTGTTGCGCGCCTTTAAGCCTAGTGCTTGGGAGGCAGAGGCAGTTGGATCTCTGAGTTTGAGGTCAGCATGGTCTACAGAGTGAGTGCCAGGACAGAAAGGGCTATTACACAGAGAAACCCTGTTTCGGGAAAAAAAGAGAGAGAGAGAGAGAAAGAAAGAAAAGAAAAGAACAAGAAAAAAAACCAAAAACAAAATAATGGGCTAGAGAGATGGCTCAGCAGTAAAGTGCATTCATTTGTTGTTCTTGCTGAAGATTCAAGTTCAGTTCCCAGCACCCAAATGCTGGCTTAAATATATCTAAAAAACAAGACGAGAGAAGGGGACAGGGAGAAAGCTATGGGCTGACCTGAAGCCAATGCTCCTTCCTCTGGGGACACACACCTCATAGACAGCCAGGTCGGTGCAAGCATAGGGAATGATGCCCAGCATGTTGGGCAGATAGCCTCGGTATAGGGCTCGGGTGCCATCCCGTTCTAAGATCTGCATGGCACAGTCCAGAAGTCCTTTATATTGGCCGGTAAAGCGAAGGGTCAGCCGAGTCTTGAGTACCTGGAGAGGGGGGAGGAGGTCCATTTGGTTAAATACTTTCAGGCAGGCTCGTCAACCGAGCATGACACTGGTAGGTGGCGATATTGTCAAGGGTTCCAGGGTTCAGTTGTACATATGCAGCATTAGATAGAACACCTATATGGAAAGAGGGAGCCTGGTTGTTCTCACTGTAACATAATACCTGAAGCTGTTGAGCTTTTTCAAGCAAAGAAGTTTAAAACCAGATGTGGTTAGCACACCTGTTATCCCAGCACTGGGGAAGCTGAAGCATGAGCATTGCAAACTTCAGGCCAGCCTGGGCTATATAGCAAGACCCCCCCTCTCTCTCTGTCTCTGTCTCTGTCTCTGTCTCTGTCTCTCTCTCTCTCTCTCTCTCTCTCTCTCTCTCTCTCTCTCTCTCACACACACACACACACACACACAGAGGCTGAGGCTGTGGCTTGTTTTGTAGAGAGTGTGCCTGGTACAAAGCCTTGAGTTTCATCCAGCACCCCCATAACCTGGGTGTGGTGGCACGCACGTGTGATCTTAGTGCTCAAAAGCAGATATGGGACAGAAAGGGTTTTTTGCTGTTGTTTTTGTTTTTCAAGACAGGGTTTCTCTGCCATCATTGCCCTGTGGGACTTGAAGTTTAAAGTCATCCTGCTATACATTGAGTTCTGGTCCAGCCTGGGCTACAATGAATCTCTGTCCCCTACTCCTTTTTGAGACAGGGTCTCAGTATGTAGCCCTGGCCGGCCTTGAGCTCACACAGTTTCTCCTGTTCTGCCCCCAGAGTGCTGGAGTAAAGGTGTATGCCTCCACCATACCCAGCCTGAAACCTTGTCTTAAAAACAAAACAATGGCCCAGGACACAGCCACACCACCCCAAGACATCATCCAACCCCTCTGTGTATTTGTTTGAGACTAGGTCTGAAGTAGCCCAGGCTAGCTTCTAGTTTGCTGTGTAGCTGAGGAGGATGGAGAGTTCAAGGCCAGCCTGGGCTACATGAGACTTCATTTCAAAATCAGAAGAAGTGGCCAACACGACACTGACATGTTGTAAGGCATTTGCTGCTAAGCTTCATCCTGGGACCCACGTGATAGTTCAAACCCCTGGAATCCCATGCACTCTCCTGGCTTCTGCAGGCCCTGCACACACATATACAGACACACAAACGAAATCTTGAAAAACAGACAGGGGTAGTGTGGGATGTAGCTCAGTGGTTGAGTGCTTGCCTACCATATGCAAAAAACCCTGAACTCAATCATCACTGGTGCTCCTAGACCCCAAGAAAAGAGGCATCACACTCTTTTCATACAAATACACACACTCACACATGAACATACACACCAGGCATGCACATATACATACACACAAGCCAGAAACAAAAACTTAATTTCTGAAATGCAAAAACATCTCTCCATTTTTTTTTGCACAGTTTCACTCTGTAGGTTTGGCTGTCCCGGAACTCATTCTGTTGACCAGGCTGGCCCTCAACTCTCAGAGATTCTGCTGCCTCTGCCTCCTAAGCGCTGGGACTAAAGGTGTGCGCTGCCACTGTCCTGTGCTACAGTTTGAAAATCTGTGTCAAACAGTCAGGCAGTGGTGGTGCACACCTTTAGTCCAAGCGCTCGGGAGGCAGAGACAGCAGAATCTCCGTGAGTTCGAGAACAGTCTATAGAGCGAGTTCTAGAAACCCTGTCTCAAAAGCCAAAACAAACAAGAGAGAGAGAGACAGAGAGATACACACACAGAGAGACACAGAGAGATACGGAGAGGTACAGAGAGAGAGGGTGAGGAAGGGGGAGAGGGGAAGAGAGGGAGAAAAGGTGGTGAGAGGTGCCCCAGAACCAGCTCCAGCCACTCGGGTCTCCGGCCTTACCTCCATGGGGTTGATGAAAGTCTGGGAGATGGCCACCGCCAGGGAGCCTGCGATCAGCCGTTCCTGGAAGGGCGGGTAGTCATACACACCGCAGAAGAATCGCATCTTACACTGCAAGGGGAATGGTGTGTGAGAGAAACCGCCAGCACTGTGCGCTGGGAGGGCGGAGGGCTGCCTTGCACTCTGGGGACTTGATCTGTGGTAATTCCCCCAGGCTCACCTGCTCAAACACAGAGAACTTAATGGCATATTCCGGGGCGATCTTGAGCACATTGATGCCATTGCCCCGCCAGAGCGAGCGGACGCCTCCCTCCTGGACCAGGCTCCGCAGGCCGCTCAGCAGGTTCCTGAAGTTACTCTTGGAGGAGTACACCTGGAGAGCGGGACGGGTGTGCAGCCCTGAGACAGCACCAGGTATCCCCAGCCCCTCACTGGGGAGTTCTAGGCAGGTGCTCCACCCCTGACCACGCCCCCAGCCCCTCACTGGGGGATTCTAAGTGGGACTCGGCCACTGACCACGACCCCACTCCTTACTGGGAGATCCTGGGCGGGGCTTAACTCTGACCATGTCCCCAGCCCCTCATTAGGGGATTCTAGCTGTGTCCCTAGCCCTCTTTTTACTTTGTATTTTGACACATACAAATCGTCTGAGCTGGCCTTGAAGTGGAGATCCTCCCCCTTCAGCCTCCGGAACAGCTGGGATCACAGGCCTGTGCCACTAGGTAGATGTACCTATTTAGTCTTCTCATTTATCTAAAAACACACTGGGGCCAGGTCTGGTGAGGCTGGTCTTTGGTCTGTGAGCCCAACTATCTGGGACCTGAGTCAGAAACACTGTAGTTCAAGTCCTTTCTGGGCTACAGAGTGAGTTCAGTGCCAAACTGGGATACTTACTGAGATGCCTGAAAATAAAAAAAAAATGACGAGAAGGCTCCGGGAGGGACGGTCCAGTGGTTAGAGCACTGGGCTGGCAGGTGGAGAGATGGCTCAGGGCTCAAGAGCACATGTTGCTTTTGCAGAGGAGACTGGTTCGGTTCCCAGCACCCACGTGGAGGCTCACGACCACCTGTAACTCCAGTTCTAGGGGATCGAACGCCCCCCTTCTGGCCTCCAGCGGCACTGCATGCACGTGGGGCACAGACATGGATTCAAACTCACACACACATAAAGTAAAGATAAATCTATTTTCAAAAAGAAAGAAAGGAGGGCTGGGAACATTGCTCAGCAGTGAGGGCTTCTCTGGCATGTGTGAAGCCTTGGGATCCATCCTCAGTTCCTTCCATCTCCCATGTCTCCCTGCAAACACCTCAAAGACATCACCCACAACCTGCAGACCTCCAAACCTTTTACCTTGGTCTGTGTTGCTCTCTCTGAGGCCTCTATGTACCAGTCCATCATCCCAAGCTCCACCAACTCCATCCCCACCCCTCTACACCCATACTGTCTCCTCAAAGGGCTCCAGCTCTGTGGACAAACCTGCATGTATACCCTGGCTCTTTCCAGAGGGGCTGTCCCTGTGCGAGACACTGCCCCAGCCATGGCTCCTGAGAGCAGAAACTTCCACAGGGCTCCCTTGTTCTTCTCTTCCAAGACATCCACAGGGACCATCAGCTGCTCGCCTGTGTCCAGAACCTGCAAGAACATCCGCTGCTTGGCCACACTCAGCCCTGAAAGAGCTTGCTCCCTACGGAGCCCCCTCCCTGCTTTTCTTTGCTGCCTTGATGTCTTTGGAGGTGGTGATTTGATGGTTTTGTTTGTTTTATGACAGGGTCTCTGTGTAGCCTCAGCTGTCCTGTAACTCACTCTGTAGACCAGGCTGGCCTTGAACTCAGAGATCCGCCTGCCTCTGCCTCCTGAGAACTGGGATTAAAGGTGTGCTTGACTGATTTCTTTCTTAATGATTTTATTTAATTTTTGGTTTGTGTGTGCATGCATGTGAATGAAGGAATCCGAGGGGCCCAGACACTGGTCTCACTGGAACTGGAATTACAGATGGTTGGGTGCTAGTCTGAGCTCTCCTCTTCTGCAAGAGCTCTTAACTGCTGCAGTCTGCTTCCTCACCTCTGTGTGTGTGTGGGTGTGAGAGTGAATGCACGTGAGTGCGTGAATAGTGGTGGTGTGTGTATAGTGATGTATGTGTGTGTGTGTAGTAGTAGTATGGGTGACTGTGTGTGCATGAGAATGTGTGTGTGTGATTGTGTGTGCAGTCATGGGTGTATATGAATGTGTGTAGGTCAGAGGTTGATGTCCAGTGTCTTCCTCCACCACTGATATGTTGAGGTGAGTCTCTCACAAACCCAGAGCTCATCAGTTCATCTGGTCTAGCTAGCAATTTGCCCCCATCTCCATCTCCACCTATGGGCTTTTGGGGTTACAGGTGATGGTCAGGCCTGCCCAGCATTAGGGACCTTAGCTTGCCTGACCTCCCAGACTTCATCCCCTGAGCTATATCCTCAGCACCCATCTATTTTTTTTTTTTTTTGAGACAGGGTTTCATTCAGTCCAGACTGGCCTCTAATTCACTAAACAGCCAAGGATGACTTTGAACTTCTGATGTCCTGCCTGCAACCTCCTGAGTGCTGGGATAATGGGTATGAACCACCTCCTGATCTCACTCCCAAGTGCTGGGATAACGGGTGTGAACCACTTCATGGTCTCACCCCCTGAGTGCTGGGATAATGGGTGTGAACCACTTCATGGTCTCACCTGTGGTCTTAGTGTGGATTATTCTACTCTGCTTGGAGGGAGAAGAAACTCCATACCACATGGGCAGCATAGCTGTGCTTCCCTTTGGTCCAGCCTCAGGCTGTGTAGCACCTAGCTTCCAAGACTTACCTGCTACAATGGAGGTTGTTCAGGGTTGTTTTCACCCATGTGTCCAAACACATACTCATACACGTGTGCACCCTGGGTTCCAGCATGCAAGTGGGTATGGGGGCGGGGATGGGTTGGGGGGACCAGGGGTGGAGCTTTTCTAAATAAGGCCCTGACCCTCGAACACGGTTCCTGTGTTACCTCGGGATGGACTCCCATAGCTGCTGAAGGATTAGGGTCTCAGTCTCAATGTCCCTGGGGCGTCTATCTGGCTCCCAGCTGAGAATGGCTGATTACCTGGCTTGTGAATTTAGGGGCAAGGGAGGATGAGGTCACAAGAGTACTTGTGAGCTCATGGGCCTGCTGGGTAGGCAGTGCAGTTGACCTTTGTCTTCCCACAGTGTCCACATCCTAATCCCGAAGCCCAGGAAGAGCCAGTGCGGTCCTCTAAATGGTGTCTAAAGAATATTTATTATTCATTTGTTTTGTTTTGAGACAGGGCAGCATGAAGCCCAGGCTTGTCCCAAACTCACCAAGTAGCTGAGGATGACTTTGAACTCCCGGTCCTCTTGCCTCCATCTCCCAAGGCAGGAAACAGAATGGATTTAGTGTTGAAGGGAGATAGCTTTGGTATGGGCAGGTGGAGAGTGAATGAGCTCTGTGCTGCCACATCTTCAGACAATAAATCTTTCTTTGCGGGGTGGGTTTTCGAGACAGGGTTTCTCTGTGTAGATTTGGAGGCTGTCCTGGAACTCGCTCTGGGGACCAGGCTTGTCTCTAAATCACAAAGATCTGCCTGACTCTGCCTCCCAAGTGCTGAGACTAAAGGTGTGCACCACCACTACTTGGAATATTAAAAATTCTTTTTTTTTGATGGGGGTTGGAAATCAGCGAGACAGGATCTGATGTAGCCCAGGCTAACCTCAAACTTGCTATGTAGCCAGCCAGCAATGATTCTGAACTCCTGATCTTGTCTTCACCATTCCCAGTGCTGAGATGACAGGTGTGAGCCACCGTACCCAGATTCCAAGCCCCCTCTCTCTGCGAATGTGTGTGTGCTTTATGGAGCTGTTCAGATGGTTCAGTGGTTAAGAGTGCATACTGCTCTCACAAAGGACCTTGGTTTAGTTCACAGCACCCATGGTAGGTGGCTCAAAACCACTGCAACTCTAGCTGCAGGGAATCTGAGGCCTCTGGCTGTCTCACACACATATTAGATACACACAACACAAATCAAATCTTCAAAATGTATTATTTTGGTGTGCGTGTCTATTATGGTGCATGTGCAGAGCTCAGATGACAGCTCTGTGGACTCCACTCTCTCCTTCCACTTGCATGGGAGTCCCAGGGATCAGATTCAGGCAGTTAGGCTTGTACAGCAAGGGCCTCACTCAGCGTGTGTGCATGTAGGTGCAGCATCTTCAGAGGCCAGAAGGGGGTGTCGGATCCTGGAGTTGTTGTAGCTCCTGGTGATTGTGAGTCGCCATGTGGGTGTTGAGACTGCACCTCAGGTCCTCTCCAGGAGCAGTATGAGCTCCTGACAGTGAGCCATCTCTCCAGCCTGCTTGCTATTTATAAATGGAATGGAAACTGAGGCTCCAGTCTCTTGGAGAAGAGGAAAGAGGAGGGAGGGAGGGAGGGCAGAGGGAGGAAGTGAGAGAAGGCAGGCAGGCAGGGGGTAAGGTAAAGGGAAGAGAGGATAGAGGTAGGGGAGAGAGATAAATGAAGTAAGGAGAGAGGCGGGGGAGAGGGAGAGACCATGTCTCATCTCTCCTCCTTGGGCGTATGTCAATGCTGTTCCACACACCCCTTTCCATAACTTTTTTAAAAGTCACAAAACTGCAATAGGGTCAACCAAGGCGCTCGCCCCCAAGCCTGAACTCGGGGTTTGATCTTCAGGACCCACATGGTGGAAGGAGAGGGCAGACTCCCACAAGTTCTCCTTTGACTTGTCCCTCCCTCAAACAAACACATTTAATCAAAAAATAAAAAAGCAACAATGAAAGAGCTTAGAAAATTTATTCTCTTTTCCCTTGAAATGACACACACAGGCAGGGAGGTGGGACTTGGCATGGGCTGGATGGAGGGAGAGGTGGGAGCCATGGTAGGGTCCTCCTGCCCCTCAACATCCCAGTTCCCCTTTCACAGTCCTTTAGTGGGGTCCCCAAAGACTGGGGAGTCAAGCAGGGCACCCCAATTTTCCTAAGCTCAGAACCCAACATTGAAGTGTGGAGAGTATGGGAATGTGGTGGGGAGCCAAGGAACTTTGTTCTGTCTGGTAGAAAAATAGACCCCGAGTCAGTCTGGGGATGCTTAATTTTGCATACTGGATGCTGGGTTTCAGGAAGGATGCTGTGTCTTGGTCCTTAATTGTGACTTTCTGAGGCCCGAACAGGGCTGGCAGTGCTGGGATGCAGAAGGTCCCCTTGGCTGTGTCCCTTGGCTTCACCTGGCAGCTGCCCGCCATGAACAAGCAGACCAGACCCTTCCAGAGGGACCTGGGCTCTGGAAGTTACTAGCCTGGAAGGTGGGCAGGGGTGTGGAAGACATTGCAGAGTGGGAGGTGATTTGGGGGAGTGACTCCCCCTGGGTAGGGGAGGGGAGGTGTGTCCTAGCTAAGGGGAGAGCCAGCATTCAGATGGGGTGTGGTGTGGGGCATCCCATCCCTTACTGCCTGGTGGGGAGCCACTGGTCTGGGGTTCGAGCTTCCAGAAGGATCCCTGATAGTGTGGTTTCATGCAGTGGGAATCAGCTCCAGATTATCTGGGATGCCTGTGGGATCTGAGATGCTGCCACTGGGCTGTTGGGATCCAGACTTAGGGGCTGGTCTGAAAATTTGGGGTGCAGGAGCAAAGGGTTTGGAACCTGGTAGTGTCTGGGAGAGCTTAGCCTTCTATGGATGGTATCCATAGAAGGAGTTGAGGAAATCTGGGATCTGGGATTTAACAGTGGTAGCATCTCGGGTCCACCCTGGAGCTCACACACCTGTGGTTCCAGGAACCAGAATCTAGTGGGATGGGACTTGGGACTTGGGCTCCAGTGGTGTGAGACTGAGGGCAGTATTTAAAACGTAGACCCAGCAGTCAAGGCGGGAGGGTGTGGAACCCCAAGTCAAGGTAAATGAATTGTTTGGGGGTGAGGGATCTGGGATCCAGTGATCCAGGGACAGAGCCCCGGGATCTTGGCATTGCCCTGTCAGGACCCTGTGGCTGAGAGTTCTCGGCTTCTAGAATCCAGTGGCTGGACTATGAGGCAGGTTTGGGAATCTCAGGTCCAGTGTGGCATAAGGGTTTGGTGCCTCAAGGATCTGAGGTCTGGGCTATGGGGTCCATGGGTGTGTGCCCCCCCATGCTTGGGGCATTGGGACCATCTCTTGCTGCATAGAGAGGCCCAGCACACAGTAGTGGGGCAGGGAAAAGCAGGATCCAGTGCAGTTCTGGGGTGTAGATGAGCAGGACAAGGAACTTTGGGATGAGAGTTCAGGGCCAGGGTGTGTGGATAGTTCTGCATTTCAAGTGTCGGACTGCTGATGTGTGAGGTACAGCAGTTGGGGTCTGGGGGTCTGGTTGTGAAGTTGAGGATCCAGTGGCTGAAGGGTGGGGTACAATGGTTGGGAACAAGGCCAAGGACCTGGGACTTGAGTACTGGGATCTAGCGGCTCTGGGTGGGGGGTTAGGATCCACTGGTCAGGCCATTAGTCACCGGTGGTTGAGGACGTCAGCATGGGGGACGCCGTTGTGAAGATGAAGGAATCTTGGGGTGATAGGTTCCCAGTCCCTCACCTGGATGTGACCCCCAGAGCCTGCTTCATGTTCTCGTAGACCACGTAGGAGATGCTCACGGCTGGAATGACCTTCATGAAGTTGGGGGCAATGCCCCGGTAGAGGCCCCATACACCCTCCTGGGATAAGATGTGTCGAAGCAGACCCACCATGGAGACCTGTGGGCCACCTTCGATGGAGGCTGTTGGGGGGGGGTGAGAGCCTGGGAAGACCAGAAACCCCCCCCCCCCCATTTTTCCCTCTGTCTCCACCCCAGGGCTGGGCTAGGTGGCCATTTCAAAAGGAGGCAAGAAGGTGACAGAGGAACAGTGTGCCCTACCACAAGACTCTGGATGTCTGAGGACCTAGGAACTGTCAATCTTAGGGACCACATTTGGGGGTGAATGGAAATGGCAGGTGTGTGCATATGTGAGCGTGTGTCTGTGTGTGACAGTGTGTATGTACATCTGTGTGGGAGCATTATGTACAACTAGGTGTGTGGGAGTGCCTATGTGTGAATGTATGTGACAAGAGGAGGAAAAATCCCTTTCCCTAATGTTTATTTTCTCCTCTTTGGGGCTGACTTCTGCTCATCTTTCCCTCTTCCATCCCAAAGTCTGCTGTTTGGGGGAGCTGTCTGTGGTACCCCAGCCTAAGTTGGGTTCCTACCTCTCCTCTCCTCAAACCCTAAATCAACCCTCAACTGTGGAATGATTTATTAACCTTTCTCCCCTCAGGGATGAAGTTCATGCAAGTAGACAGCATCTGTCGCATCCTTGGATCATTTCTCCAGCAAAGATTAAGGAACACAAATACTGAGGTTCACAAAAACAGATTCAGGGAAAACAGAACAGGAAAATAACCCATAGGAGAAAAATACAGAGGAAAAAAAAAAAAACAACAGTGGGAAAGCTGAGGCAGGAGGATTGTCCTGAGTTCCAGACCAGCCTGGGACATAGCAATCCTCTGTCTTAAACTAAACGCAAGGGCTGGATCAATGCAATGTCTCAGGGGGAAAGAGAGCTTCCTGCTCTTCCAGAGGACCAGAGTTCAGTTTCTGGCACCCACACAAATGACCTCTTAGCTCCCAGGGAGTCTGATGGGTCTGTGTGGCTGTCTCAGTCACCCATACACATGCATGCACATGCACGGAAATAAAAAAAAATCTTAAAAAAAGCCACCTTGAAATAAAAACGAAACACAGTAACTAGTCCTTCAGGCTGGGTATAGAAGTGAACACCTTTAGGAGGCCAGTGGCAAATTTCTGTGAGTTCCAGGCCAGCCAGGGGTACACAGTTAGACCCTGTCCCATTAAATAAATAATAAGAAAGAAAGAATAACACTGTCCTTCCTTGACTTTGGCTTACTTCTATTCCCAGCATCCCTCACTCCCTTGTTTTCACCTAGCTTTGAATAGCAGCTCAGGTTACTGGCAGGCCCAGAAATGCCACAGTGTTGTCTGCAGTACTTTCCTGAAGCTGATGCCACTGAACTCTCAGGTGAAAGAGCCCCTCTTTAGCATCACTCATGGGTAAACTGAAGCCCAGACAAGAAGAAAGATTTACGGAGGCCACCCAAACCCATAGACTCTACCTACGTGGACTTAGATGACATCAGGTGGAACCCAAATGGCAGGCTTTCCTACCCCAGCTCCTGCCCAGGCCTCTCACCTTGGGCCTGCATTCGGGTCCGGACCAGTGCCAGAGGGTAACTGGCAATCTGGCCACAGGTGCTGGAGATGGTGCCGCAGGCCAGGAGCACAAGAATGCCTGGATTTGCTGATTCGCGGCTGTACTGCTGGAGCCAGTGATTCTTCAGGGTCTGGAAGAGAAAGGAGCAGGTGGGTTCAATGTTGCAAACGGGAAGACCTTGGTGTCAAAGACCTTGTTTCTAGCTCTATATACCATGGTTGCCGGCACTAAATAAGGTGATTCAGCTTGCCTTCTCCACTGGGTCAGTGCCAGGTTAGGACTGGGGAATTCTAGGCCGGGCTCTACCCCTGATCACACCCCCAATCCTTCACTGGGGAACTCTAGGCAGGACTCCATCCCGACCATGCCCTAAGCCCCTCACTGGGGTATTTTTTAAAAATTATTTACTTTTATTTTATATACATTGGTATTTTGCCTGCGTGACTGTCTGTCTGAAGGTGTCAGATCCCCTGAAATAGGAGTTACAGACAGTTGCGAGCTGCCATGCTGGAATTTAACCTGGATCTTCTGAAAGAGAAGCAGTGCTCTTAACCATTGCTGGGGAATTCTAATGGCCACTACTTGAGCTACATCCCTTGCCCTTAAAGCTTTTTCATTTGGGACAGGAGCTTCATCTGTAGTCCATACTGACTTTGAAGTTGTCATCTTCTCAGCCACCTCAGACCTGTATGGCAGGCTTGTGCTACCCAGCCTGGCTTCTGTGAGCAGTTTCCTATATCGCTTCCCATTTGCCTGCTACACTGTGCACCCCATTCCTGGGACCTCACCACAGTGACACTGCACATTGGGAAGGACTGTGCATCCAGGATTGAGGATTGTTTTGGCTTTCTGGTTTTTTGTTTTTTGTTTTTCTTTTTTTTTGAGACAGGGTTTCTCTGTGTAACATTCCAGGCTGGCCTGGAACTCACTTGGTGGACCAGGCTGGCCTGGAACTCACAAAGATCCACCTGTCTGTGCCTTCCCAGCGTTGGGATCAAAGGCATGTGCCACTACTTACTGCCTGGTTCTGTTTTTGTTTGTTTGTTTTTTTGAGACAGGTTTTCTCTGTGTAGTCCTGGCTGTTCTAGAACTCACTCTATAAACCAGAGTGGCCTTGAGCTCAGAGAATCCCCTGTCTCTCTGCCTTCTGAGTGCTGGGATTAAAGGTGTGTGCCACCACCACCCAGCTTCATTTTGGGTTTTTTCTTTTAAACCTTTTTTTTTTTTTTTAAGATTTTATTTATTTATTTTGTATACAGTCTTCTGCCTGCATGCCAGCAGAGGGCACCTGATCTCATTCAAAGTGGTTGTGAGCCACCATGTAGTTGCCAGGAATTGAACTCAGGACCTCTGGAAGAACAGTCAGTGCTCTTAACCGCTGAGCCATCTCTCCAGTCCTCATTTTGGGTTTTTTAAATTTTATTTTTGTTTTGTATGCATCGATGTTTTGCCTTCAAAACATGTCTGGGTGAGAGTGTTGGGTCCCCTATGGGGGCTAGAAGAAGGCATCTGATCCCCTGGGACTGGAGTTACAGATGATTGGGAACCACTATGCCGGTGCTGAAAATATAAGCTCAATGAGTTATTAAGAGCTGTTACAGGCGTTGGTGGCACACGCCTTTAGTCCCTGCACTCGGGAGGCAGAGGCAGGAGGATCTCTGTGAGTTCGAGGCCAGCCTGGTCTACAAAGCTACACAGAGAAACCCTGTTTCAAAACACAAAACAAAAAAAGAGCTGTTACAGGCTAGTAAGATGGCTCAGTGGATAAAGGTACTTGCAACCCAGCCTGATGATGAAGCACATGGACACACACAGAGAAATATAAATGTAAAATAAAGAGCTGTTCTGGGCTAGGGAGATGGTTCAGTTGGCAAACTTCTTGCCATGAAAGCAAGGCAGCAGCCTGGCGTTGGTGGCACACGCCTTTAATCCCAGCACTCGGGAGGCAGAGGCAGGTGGATCTCTGTGAGTTCGAGGCCAGCCTGGTCCAAGTGAGTTCCAGGACAGCCAGGAATGTTACACAGAGAAACCCTGTCTCAAAAAAAAAAAAGAAAGAAAGAAAGAAAGAAAGACAGACAGAAAGAAAGCATGGCAGCCTGAGTTTGATCCCTACTACCCATGTCAAGGGTCAGGCATGGTTGTATATGCCTGTAACCATACTGTTGGGGAGAGGCAGAGATATTTGGGCTCACTGGTGAACCTCACTAGCCTCCTGGATGAGCCCCCAGGTCCCAGGAAGAGATCCCATTCAAAATATACGGTGGACAGTACCAGAAAAATGACATCTGAGGTTGTCTTTTGGCCCTCACATATACACTCTCACACACATACACCACACACACCACACACACCACACACACACACACACACACACAGAGAGAGAGAGAGAGAGAGAGAGAGAGAGAGAGAGAGAGAGAAGAGAGAGAGAGAGAGATTGTGGTACCTGCCTTGTAATGTTAGTACTCAGGAGGCTGAGGCAGGGGGATTGCCATGAGTTCAGAACAACATGGGATGCATAGTAAGCCCCATCTTTAAAACAAAGAGAGCTGCATTTCAGTCAGTAGAACACTGACCTAACACACACGAAGCCCTGGGTTCCAACCAGCACTGCATTAACTTGGCCTGGTAGTGTAGACCTGCCATCCTTGCATTCAGGGGTAGAGTCAGGAGGGTCAGAAGTTCAAGCACTACCTAGCAAGTTTGAGGCCAACAAAGGCTACATAAGACCCTGTCTTAAGGAAAAAGGAAAAGAAAGGGGAGACTGGAGAGATAGTCCAGTGGTGAAGAGTACTGGCTACTCTTGCAGAGGATCCAGCTGTTTTATTTTGTTTTTTTTGAGACAGGATTTCTCTGTGGCTTTGGAGGTTGTCCTGGAACTAGCTCTTGTAGACCTGGCTGGTCACGAACTCACAGAGATCCGCCTGCCTCTGCCTCCCTAGTGCTGGGACTAAAAGCCTGTGCCACCAATGCCTAGCTTGGATCCAGTTTTAATATCCAGCACACACACAGTTACAGGTGATCTGTCGCCCTCTTCTGGCTTCCATGTGTACCACATGCAGTGTGCAGGCAGGCAAACACTCACATAATAAAATTTGAAAATAACAAATAATTGAAAAATAATGGAAGGCAGGCAGGAAAGAAGGAAGAGAATGTGCTGTTCTTTAGGGCAGACTAGAACCTACACATGCTTTGGGGATGATGGGCATCTGAGGCTTGTTTTGTGCCGTGTTTGTGTTCTTAAAAGCTGAGGTGCCCCAATTTCTACAAAGCTAAACCTTCTATAACTCCAAGAAGGCAAGAATGAACCCCCAGATTTCATCTTCAGCACCCTAGGGGGGAAATTGTTCTACTATTATTATTGTTTTGAGAAAGGACCTCACTTTGTGACCCAGGCTGACCTCCTGCCTCTGCCTCCTAACCCATGGGATTAAAGGTATGCACCACCAGGCCATGTTGTTGTGGTAATCCTCCTGCACCAGCATTCATAGTGTTGTATGGCAAGTACCAGTCTCCATGCCTAGCTAAAAGTGGCCTTTTTAAATTTTTGAAAAGATTTATTTATTTTTTTATTTATGTGTGCATGTGTGTGCCTGTATGAGTGTGTGTGCACCACAAGAGTGCAGTGCTTTTGGAGACCAGAAGAGGGAGTTGGATTCCCTGTAGCTGGATTTATAGGGCACTCTTAGACCTGATGAGGGTGTTGGGAACTGAACTCAGGACCTCTGCCAAAGTGGCAAACACTCTTTTTTTTCCCCTTGTTTTTTCTTTTAATAATTTATTTTTATTTTATGTGCACTGATGTTTTGCCTGCGTATATGTCTGTGTGAGGATGCCAGATCTGCTGGACCTGGAGTTACAGACAGCTGTGAGCTGCCATATGGGTGCTGGGAATTGAACTTGGGTCCTCTGGAAGAGCAGCCAGTAGTCTTAACCACTGAGCCATTTCTTCAGCCCCTCCTTTTTTTCTTTTTTGGTTGCTTTGGAGCCTGTCTTGGAACTTGCTCTGTAGACCAGGTTGGCCTTGAACTCACAGAGATCTGCCTGCTTCTGCCTTCCGGGTGCTGGGATTAAAGGCATGTGACAATCAATGCCCGTGCAGCAAACCTTCTTAATGGCTGAGCCATCTCTTTAGCCCTGTTTTCCTATTTGATTGTTGTTGGTTTCTTTTAATTATTGTTCTTATTTTTCTTTCTTTTTTAATAATTTATTTATTTTTATTTTATGTGTATTGGTGTTTTGTTTGCATGTATGTCTTGGAGTTACAGACAATTGTTAGCTGCCATATGTGTGCTGGGAATTGAACCCTGGGTACTCTGGAAGAGCAACTGATACTCTTAACCACTGAGCCATCACTCCAGACCCCTCCCCTCTCTCTCTTTTTTTTTAAGACAGGGTTTCTCTGTGTAGCCCTGGCTGTCCTGGAACTAACTCTGTAGACAGGGTTGGCCTCGAACACACAGAGATCTGCTTTCTTCTGCCACCTGAGTGTTGGGTTTAAAGGCGTGAGCCACCAGGCCCAGCTTAAATTTTGTTTTTCAAGACAGGGTCTTTTCACATAACTAGGCTGTCTTGAAACTGACTATGTAGTTCAGGACAGCCTTGAACTCCAGACCCTCCTACCTCAGCCCTCCGAGTCCCAGGGTGGCAGGTGTTGGCCACCATGTGGACTGGAAACAAGGTTTTCACATTGTTGAGAGATAGAAGGTAGTTATGATGTCTGAACGGACTCTCCAGGGTTCCAAGGCCCACCACAATTTTCAAGTTCACGATTGTCCTTCTTAGTCTACTAGATTAGCAAGGGGTGTCCTAGGCCAGATCCCAGAATGAGGGAGGGAGGGCAGGCGGGCGGGCTGGTAGTTACCCACAGACCTCGTAGACGGCTAGGTCAATTCCAGCATAGGGGATGATGCCCAGCACGTTAGGCAGGTAGCCACGGTAGAAGGCGCGAGGCCCTTCACGCTCCAGGATCCGCCTTGCACAGTCCAGGAGCCCCTTGTACTGGCCGGTTCTGCGCAGAGTCAGCCTTGTCTTCAGTACCTGGGTGAGAACTCTGTCAAGCCCTTGAAAAACTGCTTCCAAAAATTATCATACCCAGGAGTGGCGCCCCCTAGATGTGGCTACTCCTGAAAGCAGATGTCTTGAGGACTTAGCTGGGGTTGAGTAGGTAGACTGCCCACTTATGTAAACAAAGGCAAGGTTTCCATCCCCAGCACCACAGAAACTAGGTGTGGTGGCTCATATCTGCCATCCTCGCACTTGGCAGGCATAAATGGCCGGTTACTATGACTATCAAGTCCCTAGAAGTTGTATCTCAAATTGAGATACCCAGACAACCTAGACAGGAAACGGCTCCTGGCCCCAAGTCAGGTAGTTAGGGTTACAGTTAGCTCCACACGCAGTGCAGAGTGGGGAATGAAGCAGTACGGCAGGCCCCTCCCTCCCATGCTGGACCTTCCTGGGTCCCTTCCTTCTCACCTCCATGGGGTATATGATGGTTTGAGCTGTGGCCCCAGCCAGGGAGCCAGCCACGAAGCGCTCCTGAACGTGCAGTGTTTCTTGCTGCCCCCGGATGGCCCGTTTGATCTGAGGGTGGAACATGGGGTGGTGTGGGTGCATAGGAACCTTGGGGATTATTGAGCTATCCATGCATTCCACTGTTCTCCAGCTGGCACGGAACTGGCCAGTAGGGGGCGTGATAAGCCAACCCCTTGAGCCCTTGTATTTAGTTTCTGCTTCCCAAGGCTGAATGCACTCTCTCCTGGACCTACCTGTTCGTAAGCCATGAACTTGATGGCCGACTCAGGGGCGATCTTGAGCACATTGATGCCATTGCCTCGCCAGAGGGACAAGATGCCCCCTTCTTGAACCATGTTCCGCAGGCCCCCTAGGATGTTGAGCCGGTTGGACTTGGAGGCATGGACCTGAGTGGGGAGAGAAGTTGGCCTTGCGATGCCCTCCTAGGTCTGGGACCTAGATAATGTGGTGAGTCCCTTTAGGTCCTCTCACCTGCATGAAGACCTTGAGACGGTCCAGAGGAGCCGTGCCTGTCCGTGACACAGCACCTGCCACTGCGCCAGCTACCAGCTGCTTCCACCACATGCCTGTAAGTTTTTCCTGCTTGGAGAACTCATCCGGCACCGTCAGGCATTCGCCAATGTCCAGGACCTGAGGATGGGGGCTGCAGGTGTCATGTCCCAGTGGAGGTGAGGGGATGTACCTGGGTCCTAAGTGGGGAAGACTACTCTATGAAATACAGAACACCCCAGAGTCCACCAAAGGACCTTTGGAGAGCCCAACAGACGCCTTTGGATCCCACCATGTGCCATCCAATCAGCAATTCCTCTTAGATATCCTAGAATTCCTCTGGGAGATCTACAGAGTTCCGCTAAAGCAGTGGTTCCTAACCTTCCTAATGCTGCGACCTTTTAATAAAGTTCCTCATGTTGTGGTGACCCCCAACTATAAAGTTATTTTTGTTGCTACTTCCTAACTGTAATTTTGTTACTGTTATGAATTGCAACTAATTATCTGTGTTTTCTGAATGGCCTTAGGCTACCACTGTGAAAGGGTCTATCGGTCCCAAAGGGGTGTGGCCCACGAGTTGAGAACCACTGCTAAAGGATCCATTAAGTCCCCCAAATAATAATTCAGTCCACTGAGACCCACAAAAGAGTCCACCCAGGGGTCTATGAGAGGGCTCATTAGATCAAGGTATGTGTAGCCAAGTCTGAAGACTTGAGTTCAATATCTGGGACCCATAAGATTGAAGGAGAAAGCAGACTTCCCCAGGTTGTCTTCTTATCTTCACACATGAGCCCCCTGGCACAAAATAAGTAATTGTTAAAAAAAAAGAATCCACTGACTCTCAAGAAAGGGGCCACTAGCAAGGCAGTGGTGGCATATGCCTTTAGTCCCAGCACTCGAGAAGCAGAGGCAAGTGGATCTCTGTGATCTACAGAGTGAGTTTCAGGACAGCCATGGGTACACAGAGAAACTCTGTCTTGAAAAACAAAACAAAAAAAAAAAAAGAAAAGAAAAAGAAAGGGGGCGGGCGTTGGTGGCACACGCCTTTAATCCCAGCACTTGGGAGGCAGAGGCAGGCGGATCTCTGTGAATTCAAGGCCAGCCTGGTCTCCAGAGCGAGTGCCAGGATAGGCTCCAAAGCTACACAGAGAAACCCTGTCTCGAAAAAACCAAAAAAAAAAAAAAAAAAAAAAAAAAAAAAAAAAAAAGAAAGGGGCCACTGAAATTCACCTGGGGATGCCCTGATCTCACCAAAGGAGCTACTGATTCTTACCAAAAGATCCAGTGAGTCCCACCAAAGAATCTACTGAATCCTACTGATAAATCTATCAGATCCTACCATAGGATCCACTGATCCCACCAAAAGATTCACTGGATCCTGTCAAAGGATCTGCTCTCACAGTCATCATGGGGAGGCCTCTCCTAGAAGTGTTCCCATAAGCACTCCTTACCTTGAGAGTCCTCCTCTAGGAGTCCTCCCCCAAGAGTCTTTCCCCAGGATTCCTTCCCCAAGAGTCTTTACCAAAAAATTTCCCTAGAAGTCCTTTCCAAGGAGTCCTCCCTGAGGAATGCTCCACCTCTTAGAGTCCAGCCACAGGCTTCCCAAACTGTGTATCTTTGGGGGTGGATATCTCTGGATCTCCCAAGAGGATTGCAGTATGCAGTATGATGTCTCAGACTGACATCATTACCCTGATGTCATTTTAAGGCAGCGATTACCTTGGCCTAGTAGCCATGGCAACGAACTGAGCAGAGCAATCTGGTGATAACTGGGTCTATGACAATGGAACTATTGCACCCCCTAGTATGGAGGGCACAGTCACAGGACCTCCCAGGAAGTCCACTCACTGTCCCACCTCAGCTGCAAGGAATCCTGGGTATCCCTAACTATATAGGAAGCAGAAGGCTAATTGAAAGACTCCATGGTATAGCTTCCATGGGGTCACCGTCCATCATGGGGTGGGACTCAGCAGTGGTGCAGCTGTTTGGGAGTCACCCGGGTCCTGTATGTGACCCTGTGCTCTGCAATGAAGCTCAAGAAACCCATGAGCCTACCAAATCAGACCTTGGTTGAATCCTTCCTTTGATCTGTTGTCACCCTACCTGGGGTGAAAAAATAGATGCTTGTCTACATCTCCCCAGGACAAGCAAATGCGATGAGGATCCTGTTAGATCCCACAGATGGATCCCACACCCACAGATCCTTGGTGATCCCCATTTTGGTGCAAGAGCTGGTCTCCCTCCCCACACCCAGTGGACTCCTCTGGATCCTCCTGCACAGTGTCTGCCTGCTACGTCTTCCCCCCTCAGGTGCAGGCGACGAGCACCGGCAGCTGGCCATTGTGTGGATCCATCGTGGGAACATCACTGGGTGGATTTTTCTTCCCCCAAATCTGCCAAATTCCTACCAACTGCCCCTGGAGTCTGAGCAAGAACAAAGGGCTCTGAGAAGATAACAGAGGAGTCCATTAGGGTCATCAGGCTCCGGATTAGGGTCATGAGTCCCCAGATGCTGATGATACCTCTAGCGTCCTGGCCCAGTCCTTATGAGTCCCAGGGAAGCTGGAGCTAACCTCCACCCCTATAGACAGCCTCCAACTTACCGTAGAATGCTTCCAGAAATACAGGACATCCTCCACATTCTCCAGAGAGTGCAGCAGAAAATGGTCTCGCCATTCCTGCCAATCAATGGTCATGGTGCCATCGCGGTCCATGCTAGAAATGGGGTGGGCACAGGCTCAGTGCCTGGGCTGGCGAGTGTGGGTGCTGCTAGTCTTCATGGATTTGGGGAGCACAGAGTGCATTGCCTCTCACTGGTTTACTTGTTTGAAATGGGGTCCAGGCTGGCATGGACTTTACAGTAATCCTCCTGCCTGAGTACCTGAGGCTAGGAACAATACTCCATGCTTACATTTTTTTTTATACAGGGTCTTATCAGTCTGGCCTTAAACTTCTGGAAATCCTTCTGCCTTAGCTTTTTGAGTGCTGATATGACAGCCATGTGCCACCTGGCTAAAGAGTTTTTTAAAACCTTTTTTGTTTGTTTGTTTTTGAGACAGGGTTTCTCTGTGTAGCTTTGTAGACCAGGCTGGGCTCCAACTCACGGAGATCCGTCTGCCTCTGCCTCCTGAGTGCTGGGATTAAAGGCGTGTGCCACCACCGCCCAGCTAAGAGTTTTAAAACTTAAAAAAAAAAAAAAGCCGGGAGGCAGAGGCAGGCGGATCTCTGTGAGTTCGAGGCCAGCCTGGTCTCCAGAGCGAGTGCCAGGATAGGCTCCAAAGCTACACAGAGAAACCCTGTTTTGAAGAAACAAACAACAACCAAAAAAAAATCTTTAAAAAAATTATTTATTTTAAATTGTGTGTGTGTGTGTGTGTGTGTGTGTGTGTGTGTGTGTGTGTGTGTGTTCTGAAGCATAGTTGCAGGTGGTTGTGAGTCACCTGACTTGGGTGCTGGGAATCAAACTCTGCTAGAAGAATAATTCATATTCTTAACTACTGAGCCATCCATTTCTCCAGCCAGCCCTGTTTCATTGAGTCAGACTTTTACACAATAGACTAGGCTGGCTTGGATCTCATAGCAATCCTGTCTCATATGCCTTAATGCTGGATGGTAGGACTATACTTCTGTGTCTGACCTAAAAATTTATTTATTTTAATTTTTTAAATATGCATTGGTGTTTTGCCTGCATGTATGTTTGTGTGAGGGTGTCCTGGAACTGGAGCTACATACAGCTGTGAGCCATTGTGTGGGTGCTGGGAATTGAACCTAGGTCCTCCAGAAGAGAAGTCATTGCTCTTAACCACTGAGCCATCTTTCCAGCCCCTTATGTAACTTTTAAAAACACATTTATTGTGTGTGTGCATGCACACACAAGCACACGTGTGGGGTGTGTATGTGCGAGTGTGTGCTCACATGTACCATGGCTTGCATGTAGACGTCAAGAACAACTTGCTGGGTTGATTCTCTCCTTCCCCCACGTGGGTACTGGGGATCCAACTATTCCCAGCAAGCTTGAGGGGCAAGCACCCTTGCCCTTGAGGGGCAAGCACTGAGCCATCTTGCCAGCTCCACATGCATGACTTTTTGGGAGTATTTTTAAGGGAAGTCTCATTCTGAAGTCTAAGTTGGCCTCAGACTCACGGCAATCCTCCTTCTTTGGCCTCTTAAGTGCTGGGATGACAGGTTCAGGCCCCAGGTATGATCTAATCACACTGACTGGCTGGCTTGCCTGTGTAAATCCTTCAGACCAACCCTATGTGGGTAGCTGTAGTACCTACCAGCCCTTTTCAGGACTAGACAGGGACTTCAGTCCAGTGGCCTAAGACCTGTTTGACTCCAAAGTCCAACTTCTCATCTCTGCCCTGCAACCAGGTCTGGGGTTCAGAGGACAGAACTGTCTGGCAGGGTAGGCATGGGGGTGGGGGTGCTGATGGGTCTCCAAGGGCCTGAAACTCCAGTAACTCACCTGTGTAGGATTTTCTCTGCCTGCTCCAGAGAGATGGAGATGCCCAGTGCTCGGAAGCTCTGCTGAATCTCGGAGACATCGATGTGACCTGGGAAGGGGTACCCCAAAGACTGGACCAGGGGGATCCAGAAGCCCGTGTGTGTGTGTGTGTGTGTGTGTGTGTGTGTGTGTGTGTGTGTGTGTGTGTGTAGGTCAGAGGTCAATGGTTGTGTTTTCCTCAGTCTCTCTTCATATTCCTTTTGAGACAAGGTCTCTCACCGAATCTGGAGTTCACTGACTCAGCTAGGCCAGCTTGACAGTGAGCCCCAAGATCCTCCTGTCTCTGCCTCACCAGTGCTGGGGTCACAGGTGGGCACCACCCCACCCTGCTTAATTTGGGTGCTGGGGATTGAACCCACGTCCCTGTGTTTGCACAGTAGGCACTTTACTGACTGAATCAGCCCCTCAGCCTTGGGGGAGGGGCTTTTACACAGGTTGGGGGAGGGGCTTTTACACTTCTCAGAGTTGGAACTGGGCAGTAAGTATTGCAGAGTCCTCCATTATCAGGAGTGAATGAGTTCAGGGGTGATTACAGAGGTCCTTATACTAGAAGAGACTAAAGCAATATTTGCTTATTTATTCATTTTTCAGTTCCCCCCTCCCCAACACAGGCTCTAGGGATTGAATTCAGGACCTTGTGGTTTGGTGGCAAGCACTTTACCCCCTGAGCCATCTCTCCAACCTTAAGGATACTAGGTGACACTTGGTCAAGGATCATAGCTGGAGTCCCTGGAGCTATGATACTGTCCAAAAAGAAACATCTGAGGGCAGAGACAGGGAACAGGAGGTGGGATGGACCAGTTTGGGCTCAGATCACCTAGTTGGGGCTGAGAACTCCAGAAATAGCCCATGAGTCAGAAGCAGCCCTCCCCTTTTCCCGAGCACTTCGGGTTCTAACCCATCTGCCCATCCCCCAGTCTGGAGCCCATCTCACCATCCTGGTTCCGGTCAAGACTGTGAAACATGAGCAGAAGGCGCTGCTCACGTTCCTGCAGGTAGCGGGTGAATTCCTCCAGGCTGAGGCCACCATCTGGATCAGTGTCCCTCTCAGAGGAGATGCCCTAGAAGAGAAAAAGGGGGACACAGGGACTCAGCAGACTGCGTGTGTGTGTGTGTGTGTGTGTGTGTGTGTGTGTGTGTGTGTGTGTGTGTGCGCGCGCGCGCGCGCGCGTGCTCGCGTGCACACATGCGCTCGTGAGGCCACCTGTGTTACAATATGCCTCATGCCTCAGGAACCCGAAGCCCGAGTACCTCAAAGAAGGGAGACAGGGGCCATCACCCCTGCCCCTCATTCAACCCACTTTTCAGCAAGATATCCCAAGCCACAGTAAGTGTTTGCTTGCTGCCCAGTTTTCCTGGTAGGCAGACTGAGACGTCTCCAAGTCACAGAAGTGGTTCAAGGTCATAGAACTGCCAAATGGCAACTTGGGGCATACTTTTGTTTTTAGACAGGGTCTCTCTCACATAGCCCAGGCTAGCCTCATTCTCTCCATATTAGAGAATGACCTTGAACTCTGATTCTCCTGCACCAGCTCGCCTCCTAGACCTGCCCACATAGCTTTTTCTTATAAAGCCTGTCTCCTTGGCAGTCTTGGGGTGGGGGTGGGGTGTCCTGTTAGAAACAGTCCTGATTCATACAGGGCCCAACAGATCAAAGCCAATAGCCATGGAGCCTCTATATTCCCATTGGAAAAGGGAGACCTTAGAATCAAGGTCAACAAGGATGCAACAGGTCTGTTTTAGGGACATCCAGGGGCTCAGGTGTGAGGGGCACCTGTGACACACGGAGGAAGGGCCCGTTCCTGCCTCTCTCTGTCTCTCACGGCCACCTCCCATACCTGGGCTGGAACCTAGGACCTTTGCAAATGCTAGGAAAGTGCTTTACCACTGAGCTGCACCCAAGTTCCTTCGTAGGTAGGTCGGACCCCAGTGGAGGCAGACGGGACTGAATCTCTGGCTGGAACAACCTGGGGCCACCAGCCAGGTCCCGGAAAGCGCCGGCGGGAAATGTAAATAGGAGACTAGGGTAGCTGGCTGGGGGCTCAGTGGGTGCCCCAGCAGGTTGGGGAAGTTGTGTTCACTGAAGGTGGAGCGGGTCACCCTTCGGATCGTGCGGAGAGCAGCGGAGGGTGTGTCTCCGTGCAGTGGACTGGGAAGCCTCCCGGCTCTACGGTCCATTCTCCAGCAGATACCCCACAGCCCTGGGGTGGGGGGGTGTCACTGGGTCCTGGCAGCCGCAGGCACTGCAGGCCCGGGGCCTTGACAGTTTTGTCACGAGGCGTCGTTAGGCCAGATGCGTGTGGGCAGGGGGAAGGGAGGTGACAGAGGTGGTGGGTCCAGCCAGCCAACAGGTAGCGTGGGGCAGCTGCAGCCGCAGCATTCAGGGGCATGGGTTCTGGCTCGGGCGGGCCCTGCAGCGGTGGTCGCTGCCCGTGATACCTGCTGTGCACGGTCGGGATCGCCCCCTCCCAGCCTGGCCAGCCCTTGGCGCAACTCGTGCACGTCCACGCGGCCGTCCTT